CAGGACATTTGAAAATTTGCCAGAACTCACACCAGGTGACCGAGCACTTCTTTAGTTGTGCATATATATCAGTGGGCTAATGCATCATCAATAGAATCCGGTCAACTTTTAGGGGTTTATATTAGGGGGTAAGGGGGCACATACTATAATAAAACTATTGGGAATACCGAACCCACAAATAGGAGACCTACTGTCAGGAGATACACCCCCTAAACTCAAGCATTTCCAAATTACGGGAGGTCACCGTTCACTAATGGAAGCAATGAGATGCGCACAATTGAGACACTGTATCACCCAAACAGTACTACCAAATTGGACCCCAAGAGGATTAACCCTCTTTGAGCAATTATGCACGACCATAAAGCCGCTGAAACGCACCCTATCACAAATTTACAAACTCATCCAAACTACCGACAATGCTCAGGAGACCCGAGCATACCAACGTAAATGGATGAAGGAACTACACATACACATGACACACCAGGACTGGGCATACATCTTCACAAAACCCATGCACACTTCCAGTAGCCTATCAAGACGAGAGTCTTTCTATAAGCGCATTACAAGGTGGTATAGGACTCCAGATGTACTCCATTTATATTGGCAAACAATCAGTGATCAGTGCTGGAGATGCGGGGGAGAAGTGGGCAGTATGGGACATTTGTGGTGGTTCTGTCCACTAATAAAAACATACTGGGAAGAAGTAATATCCAAGATTAATGAGATCTTAAAGATACCACACTCCCTAACCCCCTCCCAGGTTCTGCTAGGATGGCCGCAATCTTTCCAATGTATGAGGAGTCAGCGCCTACTATGGCTCCTTCTGGGAGAAGCAAACAACCTTATACCGGTCTACTGGAAGCAAAATGTATCACCCACAGCTAAACAATGGATAGAAAGGGTAGAGCACATGAGAGAAATGGAAATGCTACATTGGTCCACAATAGGAAAATACAATGCCTATTTAACCACATGGGAACCCTGGCCAAGATACTGGGCACTGGTACGAAATCAACCACAATAGACTGAAAAGTGATAATAAAAAACACCTTGTACCTTTCCCTCCCGCCCCCATGTATATAGTACTCCCCCGCCCTCCCACCCCCATTCCCTACCCCCAGAATTTCTGGTGACCCTAGTTGTCAACTCCACACCAAAGGTTTAAAGAAATCCAGAACGATAAGACAACACTAGTGGTACTATAACGTAAAGGCCAATGGGAATTGATGTCTATTTCAATATTGCTGTATAAAGTGTATGTACCATCACCATCCTAACCTTCTCTGCCTTCTGTATCCCCGTTATCCGTTGTGAAATACCAATAAAACTCGAATTAAACAAAAAAAAAACTCTTTGGGGTTGCAGGTTCAAATCCTGGCAGGGTTGACGCAGTTCTTCATCCTTCCAAGGTAGTTAAAATGAGTGCCATTAAATTGGATAATAGTACTTGGAAACCAAAGTAATCTGAATGTACCTTTCCTTGTTAAATACTTGATAAAAACATAGAAACATAGAATGTGACGGCAGATAAGAACCATTCGGCCCATCTAGTCTGCCCAAAACATTTAAATACATAAAGGGAATCAACACAGTAAAGGAGGAGACTATGATTAAAAGAAGAAATTAGATTCTTAAATTAGAGGATTTAAGGTTTAACTTTACTGAGAGAGTAGTGGATGCATGGAATAGCCTTCCAGCTGAAGTGGTAGAGGTTAACACAGTGAAGGAGTTTAAGCATGCGTGGGATAGGCATAAGGCTATCCTAACTATAAGATAAGGCCAGGGACTAATGAAAGTATTTAGAATATTGGGCAGACTAGATGGGCCAAATGGTTCTCATCTGCCATCACATTCTATGTTTTTATGACAGGTGCATTCTGTGCCGAGGTATATTGCCATTAATCTCTTAAACGATTTTAGATTGAATGAAGATTTGATTGTGTCCCTGAATACATGTTTGTGTTCCTGACCCTATAGTGCTCCTTTAAGTAAATACATGGGTTTTAGCCATTAGCTGTTGTTTTTTTTTTAAGAGAATGGTCTTTAAAATCTGACTTAATTTTCCCTCTTTTAGGTCCTCCCTTTATGGGTTAGGTTTAGTCCCAATTTCTAAACACCCTTTTGAGGAATGGTTAACCCAATTTAATCATGGTGTCTATGCAGCATTATTTGATATTGACAAAATATAACTCATCTGTACAACACGCATAGACCTGTGGTTGTTATATGGAAAACACGCTGTTTTCGTGCCTAGTGGAATCTCTCTCTAGTTTTTAATGCCTTAATATGTGAATACAAGTTATTATTGATTTTATTGAAGAAGTGAGCACCACTACATTTATTTCCGAGATTTGGAGTACCCATTGATGTTCGCCTTTATGTGAACAGCCAGCTAAACCCTAAAGCACTTCTACAAGACGAAGTGCTTTAGAAATCTACAGTGTCCCTTTAAATTAGTTTTCCAACCAACAGGCTGGAGGGTGTGAATTATGATTAGATTTGTGTTACAATTTTTTTCTAAGAAGTCAAAAAAAATAAGCTAAAAAGGTTTCTGTAGAACTTATTTCCATGAGCAGAAAATTAAAGAGCATCGGTTTTTAACACTGGATAATATATGCGAGAAATTAATTTTATCGATTTTTTTTTTATTACTTAAGATTGTAGAATATCCTTTGCTCTGAATAGGTATGTATGTAATAAATAACCACACAAAAATCAATAAGGAAAAAATTAAATAATAATGAGAAATACGCAATGAACAAAACCTTGAAGAAAAAGTAATGAAGATAATTTGTAATACAATGCTGGTTTCCCAGACTTAGTGCAACTTAACCCTTTCATTGGTGGCAGTCAAGAATTAAACAAAGGATTCATGTAATGGAAAGCAACCATCATTTTCTAACTATTTAAATTAAGATTGCATGTGTTACAGTATTTTCTTTATTATTTTGTAATGCGTACATGTAAACAGATACCTTATTTCAGTTTCTCCAGCTTACAATAATGTTATGGGTCAGCCACCTTTATGTCCTTTTTGGATTGAAGAATGGCTTATCCAACCAAAGCCTATGCAGAAAGCTAAGAGTCAACATGCATTCCCAACTTCAGATACCAAGCGCAACTAACGGGTATCTCAAAAATGTCACTCGGAGCTGGTTTCTGCAACTCTCATTGCAAATAGTCTTAGCAGATAACCTTGTACCTTTTGACTTAATGGATCTTAAAGATGGCCACCACCATAGAGGAAGTGTAAGCCAAGATATAGATAAAAAAAAAAAAGGTGTTTATTTATATGTATGAATTACAAAATAATACACACAGAGGCTATAATAAAAAACTTTTATTTTTAGTTATGATAAAAATGGATGAAAGTTTTTCTTTAAACATTTGTCATGTAAGGGATAATTCACAACAACATTTCCATATGCTGACTTGGGAAATATGATAATATCTCACTCAATATTGCTTCCATAATCGTAAACTGCTGCTATGATAGATGGATCTGAATTCCAGGAAGATAAATGAACCTCAATATGTATATTTTATTGCCGATGTTTTTCAAATATTAGCGTGTTAACAGGTGTAGTTGTGTGCAAAGCCATAATTTTAATACTCGGTACTTAGTGACTTTCTAAATTGATTGTAAAAATTTTGAAATTAATTGTAAAATGTGTACAATTCTGGAAATTGACTACACATTTACACAATTTAAAAAGTCACATAGTCTCTTCTATCACCCCCATTGTACAGTAACGTCTTTAATTATTTTCAGACAAAGCATACAGTCGGTGAATGCCCCTACTGGCTATTATAAAATCCCTCTTTGGAAAATGCTATTCTAGTCCAATTAAACATAAAAGATAAAAATGGCATAAATCAAACATTCCTTTTTCGCTTGAAGTTACAAAAAGGCATCGCCATCATCATTCTCGCACAGTCTAGATTATGTTTCACAAATCTTTTTGAAAAAAACGGACATGAAAGACTGAGAGCTGAAATGAGAGGGTGAAAGAAATGAGGCCAGGCTCAAGTGAAAATCAATTGTAATGCTCTACTGTTGAAAATCTGGGATAGAAACAAACTCACACGTTTTATTTCTTTTTTTTTTTTTTTTAGGTTAATGAAAAATTGGATACTTTGGTAAATTGCTGAACAGGTAAAAAAAGTGTATTTTATTTGGAAAAGTGGGTTAGATTAAACACTTGGACAAGCTGATCCCATTGTGAAAAGCTGGTCAATGCAGTAAACCTAAAGTTGTGAAGTTTGCTTGCATGACTAGGAAGTGAGTTTGGTTCTCCACAATCGTTTGATGAAAATCAGTTTGTAAAATTGTGAAATGTGGCAGAATGCGGTCTGTAGAAAAGGCATAGAGTCATAGATAATCAAAGCAGTCCTCCTAAATCAATGCTTCTGTTTATCTACGTGTATTGGATTATGAAACACAGTTCAAATGGCTATTCACCAAATCAGTCATTGCCAGGGATTGGAAGAGAATTGCACATTTTAGGCCAATATACTGGAAAAAAATTCTCAAACTCAGCTATTTTTCTAACTTGTATATGTTATATAAAATTTGCAATTTCCTGGTTAACTCCCCATTAAAGGAACACTATAGCCTTAGGAATACAAAACTGTATTCCTAACTCTATAGTGTCCCTCTGCCCATGGCTGAATGACCACCTCCCAGACGTCCCTTTGTGTTGGCTCAGTCTCTACCTCCCCAACATTATGGCTGTGGGGAAAGCCACGCGCATTTGGCTTTTCCCAAAGGAAAAAATTGAATCAATGAGATGAAGTGGTCTGGGTACCTATTGTGTCTCTTTAATAATGTTATTAAAGTTTAACAAGGACTGAAAAGTATATAATGTTTTCCCTAGTTGACAAGTACTCACTAAGGTCCTCAGTAGTGATGTCCCGAACTGTTCGCCTAACGGTTCGCCACGAACGGTTTGCCACGGACTCATCATTGAGTAAACCTTGACCCTGTACCTCACAGTCAGCAGACACATTCCAGCCAATCAGCAGCATACCCTCCCTCCCAGACCCTCCCACCTCCTAGACAGCATCCATTGTGAAGCTGCATTCTTAGTGAGCTGTCCAGGAGGTGGGAGGGTCTGGGAGGGAGGGTCTGCTGCTGATTGGCTGGAATGTGTCTGCTGACTGTGAGGTACAGGGTCAAAGTTTACTCAATGATGAGTCCGCTGCGAACCGTTCGTGGCGAACCGTTCACGAACCGTTCGGCAAACAGTTCGGGACATCACTAGTCTTCAGTACACACCTTAATGGTATTTATTTTAGTGACTTCAGAAGGATAAAAGGATAAGTTGATCTCCACCAGGGAATTAATTATTGCCCCCCGCCCTTCCTTTTTTCCACAGAAGGTAAGTAGCTATAAAAGCTATTACTAGTCAGTGTGCTTGTTCCATGGCCACTTCTAAAAGCAGTAGTGGTCATGAAGTTGGAGTAACCCTTTAAGCTTTAAAGGTTTGCTATGTAACTACCACCAACATTAGTAAAGAATATGCCTGGTAGCCTGTACTAAGGAAGGGAAAACAGAGAGAGGAAAAAAAGACTACCCATGTTCTTGAACTCAGCCTACTGGAAACCAAAGGAGAGAATTGAAGGAGCTGTCACATACTTAGCATTAATAATCTGGTTTCAAATATAGAGAATGTCCACAGATATATAAAAGTTAGATACTTTTTTCCAAATCCACTATTTTGAGTTCCATTTTGTCGAATCAGTCTGCAAACCACCCCAGCTCATTATGTAATGAAAATATAAACCCTTAATGTTTTTCGTTAACAAGACTTGTTAAGATTCTTAGTGCTATGCCCAAGCCTGTTGATTACCCTCAAGGAGTATGCTGGATGCCAAATTGGTTTAATAACAACTTACTGCAACTGAGGTTTTATTTTTTTATTTTTTTTAGAACTTACTATCATTTGATGATACTCTACTGCCTTCCCCATCATTACTTTACAATAACTTCACAGCTGAAAGATTTTGACGAACAACTTACTGACCTCTCTACAAGACCTTTGTATGTATTTTTTTTTTATTTTTTTTTAAAGATTAAACAATTAGTTGTCTGGCTTACTTTAAACAAATGTATGATAAAATAATCCATACCTGCTTTTAAAATCTAACATTCCCCAAAGCCGATATGACAACCCATTCTGTGATTTCTTTCTGAATGTTCTGACATGCATTGAAAATCTTTGCACCGTCTCATGTGAATTCCCTACCAGGTGCAGAGTAAAACACAGAGATACATTAATTGTACTTCATATGCAATCACGGCACTAATTAAAACCCCATGAAAAGTAATTGAAGTTACTTGTTAGCACACTGGAGGTTATGTGTTTGAGCATTTATGAAAACACAAAGATTTAGAATTCCTAAGGCCTCCCACACAACTGTAAGGCTAGATATCATTCCGTTTCAGTTTTTATGAAAAGTAAGCATTATATTAATACTTTAATCTGATTACGACATGTGGAAGAATAGTTTCATATTTAGAGAACAGTGTTTTCGGCACAGTTGTTTTTTTATAGACTATTATCCATCTATACTAAACAGATGCAAATGAATGCATGTTGGGAGTTCTTTACTGGTTTAAAGAGCTATTAATTAATGTCAGATTGATGGACGAGAAGAAAGGTTTAAAAAAAAAAAAAAAAGTTTAGTTTTAGTTTCAAAACACATTTTGTAAAGGTTTTGAAGTAGCTGCTACCATTTTTTAGACTGTGTATTACAAAGAGTTGGTTTCATCCAAATCACTTCTACCAAACATTTAAAAAAAAATATCCGGCTATATGAAGGTTCAATGAATTTTGTTAATGAGAAAAGATTTGGGAAAACAATCAGACGGACCAAAAGGCAAAAAAAAAATAGGCCAATCAGTGTACTGCAAAATATATACACAATATAAATAATATGTATATATTGTACAGTACAATGTAACTGATAGAGGGAAAAAGAGGAGAAACAGTAAACATGTTTATTTGTATATTTATCAAACAAATTATTATTATTATTATTATTATTATTATTATGATATTTATAGAGTGCCGTCAAATTCCGCAGCGCTTTACAATGGGTGGACGAACAGACATGTAATTGTAACCAGACAAGTTGGACACACAGGAACAGAGGGGTTGAGGGCCCTGCTCAATGAGCTTACATGCTAGAGGGAGTGGGGTAAAATGACACAAAAATGTAAGGATAGTATTAGACTAGTGACAGTTGCAGAAGAGGAATCAGTCAGGAGCTATTAACAGTTTAATGGATACGCTTTTATGAAGAAGTGGGTTTTTAACGATTTTTTGAAGGAGTGGAGACTGGGTGAGCATCTAACGGAGGAGGGAAGCGAGTTCCACAGGAACGGTGCAGCCCTTGAGAAATCTTGAAGGCAAGCAGAGGTGGGAGTACGGACAGAAGATAGCCGATCGTAAGGGCCTAGACGGGACATACTTGTGTATAAGATAGGTGGGAGCAGCATTATGTAGAGATTTGAAAGCAAGAACCAGAATTTTAAATTGAGCTCTATATTTTATAGGAAGCCAATGTAGGGATTGACAGAAGTGTGAGGCATGGGAGGTGCGGGCGGACAGAAAGATGAGCCTCACCACCGCATTCATTATGGACTGTAACGGCGCTAGTTGGGAGCACGTAAGACCACCGAGAAGCGGATTACAGTAGTCAAGGCGAGAAAGGACAGTGGAATGGACCAACACCTTAGTCGCATCTGGCGTTAAGTAGGGGTGGACGCGCACAATGTTTTTGAGATGGAAATGACAGGATTTGGCGATAGATTGAACATGAGGCTTGAAGGAGAGGTCAGAGTCAAAGAGAACACCTAGGCAGCGAGCCTGCATGGTAGAGATGATGGTAGCACCATAGACTTGGAGGGAGACAGACACAGGAGTAACAACACTTGAGGGAGGAAAGGCCAGAATTTCAGTTGTGGTCAAATTTAGTTTAAGGAAGTGGGCATCCATCCAGTTAGAAACAGCAGAGAGGCAGTCAGAGACACTAGTCAAGAGGGATGGGAAGAGATCAGGAGAGGACAGGTAGATTTGCGTGTCATCTGCAGAGAAATGATATTAGAAGTCAAAGGAGTTTACCAAGGGAGGCAGTATAGATGGAGAACAGTAGGGGACCAAGGACTGAACCTTGGGGGACACCAACAGAGAAGAGTTGGGGAGAAGAAGCAGAGCTAGAAAAAGAAACACTGAAAGAGCATTGGGAGAGGTAGGAGGAGCACCAGGAGAGAGCAGTATCTTGTAGACCGATATTGCGGAGGATGAGAAGAAGCTGTTGATGATCAACAGTGTCAAAAGCCGCAGACAGGTCAAGGAGAATGAGGATAGAGTAGTGACCACGAGATTTTGCAGCGAGTAGATCATTGGATACTTTGGTCAGTGCCGTTTCCACAGAGTGCTTAGCGCGGAAACCAGACTGAAGCAGGTCTAGCAGAGAGTTGGACTCGAGGAAGTCTGTCAATCTAGCATACACAATTTTTTCAAGGATCTTGGATGCAAAAGGCAGTAGCGAGATAGGACAATAGTTGGATGGGGAGTTAGGGTCAAGATTGGGTTTCTTTAGAATTGGGGTTACAGTTGCATGTTTGAAGGGCAATGGAAATATACCAGAGGAGAGAGAGAGATTGAGAATTTTAGAGAGGTGGAGAAAGAGAAGAAGACAGAGTACGGATGAGATGCGAGGGAATTGGATCTACTAGGCAGGCGGTGGTGGGACGGAGGACTGGAGCAGAGCAGAAACCTCTTTTAATGTAGCGGGTGCGAATGAACATAGAACAGCAGAGGGAGTGAAGTTAGGGGAAGTATTGTAAAGGGAAGAAGAAAGATGAGATATCTCTTCTCTGATTGTAGAGATCTTGTCAGTGAAGTGAGTTGCAAAGTCTGAGGCGGTCAAGTTAGTAGGTGGAGGAGGAACAGCAGGGCAAAGAAGAGAGTTAAATGTGTGAAATAGTCGTTTGGGTTCGCGGGAGAGTGTGGTTATGAGTGTATTGAAGTAATTAACTTTTGCAGAGGAAAGAGCCAAGCTGTATGAGCTCAGCATAAATTTATAGTGGAGAAAGTCAGATGCACAGTGAGACTTTCTCCAACAGCGTTCAGCAGTTCTCGAGCATTTTTGGAGGTATCGAGTGAGCTTGGTGTGCCAGGGTTGTTGTTGGGGGGGCCTGCGGCGTTTAAATGTACAAGGTGCCATGATGTCTAGTTGAGAGGAGAGGGTGTAGAAGGAGGTTGCAGAACTAGGACAGGTGAGGTTTGAGATAGGTAAAAGGAGAGTTTGGAGATTAGTGGAGAAATGCTCTAGGTCAAGACATTGGAGGTTTCTGTGAGAATGATGTTCAGGCGGTGGTTTCAATTGGGTCTTGGGTATGCCAATGTCAAAATTCAGCAGATGGTGGACAGATAGAGGAAATGGAATATTGGAGAGATTAGAGGCAGTACAGAGGTTGGTGAAGGCAAGATCAAGAGTGTTTCCTGCTGCATGGGTTGCTAGATTGGACCATTGGGTAAGGCCAAAGGAGGAGGTTACATAAATATTATATTCCTTTCAAAACTTGATAAAAGTATATCATATTAAAATATAATGTTGAGGTGACAGTTGTCCTTTAAGCCAGTGTTCTATGCAAGAACACTATTTTTTATATGAACCAACTAATTTTAATAGTAACCTTTTAATAGTAACCTTAGAACCTTTTGTATGGAACTGCAAGAAATGCCTCAGCAAAATCCTAGTAGCTCACATCCAATAGAATATTCAGATCTATATTTCTACTTTTTTATTTGTAGAACACAAATAAATTATTTTGGCATGACCTATCTTTCATAAAGCCATGTTGAATCCTACCAATGATATTGTTGTTTACTATAATATCTTGAATATTATCCATTAACAACAGATGTTAAGCTCACACGTCTGTAGTTTCCGGGTTGAACTTTTGAACCTTTTTTAAATATAGGCATCATAACTCCAATCCTGTGGGATAATCATGAAAGTGGTATGAATAGTTCTATACTAAACTCCCTAAGTGCTTGTGGGTAAATATCATCCAGCCCTGGATTTATTACTGTAGCACATTATCCTGTGTTAACCAGTCATCTGTTTGCTGTAAAGCTTTT